GCCTGGGGCAGCAAAAAAGTTAGAGCCGGCCCTGAGTTTAGCAATAGGAATATACTACCGACCAACTGACCAGGATGGTGATGGCAATTGTGAAATGTTCAGGGATATTAGACAGGCTAAAAAAACCAGAAAACTCAATAATAATGGGGGGTTAGGGGTATGGAACAATTTCCATACAAGGAGATATTAAAAAGAGGGACTGTTCAGCTTAGAAAAGAGATGACTAAGGGGGAATATGAAAGAGATCTATAAAATCATGAACGGTGTGAAGAATGTGAATAAGGAAGTGTTCTTTACCCCTTCACATAACACAAGAACCAGGGGTTACCCAATTAAATTAATAGGCAGCAGGTTTAAAACAAAATAAGGAAGTATTTATTCACACAATGCACAGTCAACCAGTGGAACTCATTGCCAGGGGATGTTGTGAAGGCAAAAAGTATGACTGGGTTCAAAAAAGAATTAGACAAGTTCATGAAGGATAGATCCATCAGTGGCTATTAGCCAAGATGGTCAGGGATGCAACCCCATGCTCTGGGTGTCCCTAGACCTCTGACTGCCAGAAGCTTGGAGTGGATGACACTCAACAAATTGCCCAGTTATCACTCAATAAATTGCCCTTTTCTGTTCGCTCCCTCTAAAGATCTGGCACTGGCCACTGTTGGAACACAGGATACTGGGCTAGATGGACCTTTGGTCTGACCCAGTATGGCCATTCTTACATTCTTATGACTAACACCACAAGTGGGAAATAATAATGGCACTATTCTAGATGAAGGGTACTACTCAATATTAGTAAAGGTGGCAGAATCTAGTCCATTGGTCTTTCATCCTAAAGCACTTTACAAACACTAGGATACACAGAGGTATCACTTCAAGCATCACTGAAGCCCAGGCATTTATGGGGTGAAATATTGTAACTGTTTTACAGTGTACAGACACACTACACAACAGTTTGAGACAAACACTGAAGAAAAAATACCACCACCTCCCTGCAACTACAAAAGGTCATTGCAGCAGATTTGCGCATGAACCAAAACTTCACATTTGACCCCAATCCCCACCCAACTCGTGTTGGGGAGAGGTCAAAATCCAGATCTGACCCTAAATCACTATCCAACTCTACAATGGACTGAACCAAAACCCCACTTCTGAAATGTTAGGGGGTTGAATGGTGTGGTTTGCGCCCACAGAGATAAAGGCCTTTCAACCACAAATATGACACCCACAATACTAACACCCACTTTCTACCTCAAAGCCCCAACCAAGCCCCCCCCAAATGTTAACCCACACCCACACAAAAAAACCCAATCCTGAAATAAAGCAACCTAAACGATTTTTAAAAGTAAATATGTACAATCTAAGAAATCCAAAACAAAAATCATATGTCAAGCACAGTTTTTATCCCAAAAAGGGAGAACCACCACAGAGACAAAGCGTGGACTTCAAGAAGTCCACAAGGGCATAGGCGCCAACTCTGTGGGTGCTCCGGGGCTCAAGCACCCACAGAAAAAAATAGGGAGTGCTCAGCACCCACCAGTCACCCACCCCCACTCCGCCCCCTTCCCCAACCACCACCACCGAGAGCAGCGAGCAGCAGGCAGGCAGGGGGCTTTGGGGCAGGGAGCAGAGCAGGGGTGTGAAGAGGCGGAGTGAGGGCAGGACTTCGGGGGGGGAGGAACGGGAGGCAGGAAGAGATGAGGGCGGGGTCTCGGAGAGGGGATGAAGCAGGGGTGTGAAGAGGCAGGGCTTCGGGGGTAGGGGGCGGAGTGGGAGGCAGGAAGGGACAAGGGGGAGGCCTCGGGGGAGGGGACGAAGCAGGGGTGTGAAGAGGCGGAGCAAGGACAGGGCCTCGGGGGAGGGGACTGAGCGGGAGGCGGGAAGGGACGAGGGCAGAGCCTCGGGGGAGGGGACGAAGCAGGGGTGTGAAGAGGCGGAGCAAGGACAGGGCCTCGGGGGAGGGGACTGAGCGAGAGGCGGGAAGGGACGAGGGCAGGGCCTCAGGGGAGGGGACGGTGCAGGGTGTGAAGAGACGGAGTGAAGGCAGGGCCTGAGGGGAAGGGTCGGAGTGGAGGTGGAGCACCCACCAGAAAAAAACAAAAGTCAGAGCCTGTGTACAAGGGACCTTGCTACTGATTTCACGTGGAAGGCGCTCAGATACTATGGTGATGAGAGGCAGTAAAAAACTCCAGAACAGATGCACAGAGTGAAATTATTCAAACTGGGATGAACAGCCAGACCCAGCGTCCTCCTGCTTCCCACCCCTGTGTGAGCAGCAGGGTGCAATGTCAGGGAAAACAGAATGGTGGTGTGCACAGGCAGGAAAGGAATTGTGATGGGCTATACAGACCCCACAGGGACCAGGAAAGGTTAATGAGAGGCTGTGGGCCCAATTAGCCCCACCCCGTTGCACTTGTGTGAGGTGTCAAGTCTAGAGGGAGGAGATAAAAGTGGAAAAGCCCAGCTCAGCAATGGCTGACTAGAAGAGGGAGCAGGCTTCTTAAGCTAGCCCTCTGAAGGAAGGTCTGGCTGGGGCCAGAGCCTAACCAAAGACTGCCGTGAGCTGCCTGGAAGGAAAGCCCAGAAACTTCAAAGCGTCAGAACCTCATTGGGGCAGGTAGGCCTGGTGCAGAACCTTTTTGTTTCTTTTTTGTTCCTCATAACTGGTCTGGCTCCCCTTTGGTTTTGGGCTCTGCAGAAGAG